GTTGTTTCATTTGCAAATATTTTCTCCCATTCTGAGGGTTGTCTTTTGGTCTTGTTTATGGTTTCCTTTGCTGTGCAAAAGCTTTTAAGTTTAATTAAGTTCCACTTGTTTATTTTTGCTTTTATTTCTGTTACTCTAGGAGGTGGGTCAAAAAAGCTCTTGCTGTGGTTTGTGTCAAAGAGTGTTTGTTTTTCCTATGTTTTCCTCTAAAAGTTTTATAGTGTCTGGTCTTACATTTAAGTCTTTAATCCATTCTGAGTTTATTTTTGTGTATGATGTTAGGGAGTGTTCTAATTTCATTCTTTCACATGTAGCTGTCCAGTTTTCCCAGCACCACTTATTGAAAAGGCTGTTTTTTCTCCATTGTCTGTTCCTGCCTCCTTTGTCATAAATTAGGTGCCCATATGTGCGTGGGTTTATCTCTGGGCATTCTATCCTGTACCATTGGTCTGTATTTCTGTTTTTGTGCCAGTACCATACTGTCTTGATTACTGTAGCTTTGTGGTATAGTCTGAAGTCAGGGAGCCTGATTTCTCCAACTCCGTTTTTCTTTCTCAAGATTGCTTTGGCTATTCGGGGTCTTTTGTGTTTCCATACGAATTATAAGATTTTTTGTTCTAATTCTGTGAAGAATACCATTGGTAGTTTGATAGGGATTGCACTGAATCTGTAGATTGCTTTGGGCAGTATAGTCATTTTCACAATATTGATTCTTCCAATCCAACAACATTGTATACTTCTCCATCTGTTTGTGTCATCTTTGATTTCTTTCATCAGTGTTTTATCATTTTCTGAGTACAAGTCTTTCGCCTCCTTAAGCAGGTTTATTCCTAGATATTTTATCCTTTTTCTTGCAATGGTAAATGGGAGTGATTTCTTAATTTCTCTTTCTGATTTTTCGTTGTTGGTGTGTAGGAATGCCAGAGACTTCTGTGCATTAATTTTGTATCCTGCAACCTTTCCAAATTCATTGATTAGTTCTAGTAGTTTTCTGGTGGCATCTTTAGGATTTTCTATGTATAGTATCATGTCACTGGCAAATAGTGACAGTTTTACTTCTTCATTTCCAATTTTTATTACTTTTATTGCTTTTTCTTCTCTGATTGCCGTGGCTAGGACTGATTATCCATTTTAAATATAGCAGTGTGTACATGTCAATCCCAAGCTCCCTAAACATCCCCTCTCCCACTCTTCCCCCTCCCCCACCCCACCCCACCCCACCCCAGTAACCATAAATTCCTTCTCTAAATCTGTGAGTCTGTGTTTCTATTTTGTAAATAAGTTCATTTGTACCATTCTTTTCCCCCTTACTTCTTTAGAGGAGTTCCTCAGAGCTATCTGAGAAACTGTTTCCCAGGCTAGTCCTCAGTAAGCCCCCAGTAAATCTGAAACTCCCAGCTGTCACCTTGTGCAATTTCAGAGGACAGAAACAACGTTAGTATCTCTTTCCTGAAGTAGGAGTTGCAAAAGAAGATATTAATGCCAGTCAGTCTTTTTGTTTTAATTATCTCTGCTGCATTATACACACACACACACACACCATCTATATCTATAGATATAGAAATGTATGGTATGTGTGTATAGTATATTTCATGTGATTATAATACAAGGCTTAAGAAGTGACCTGGGAAAGGAGGATATTCAAAGAGCTACTCAGAAGACATGTGACTCTATAGTCAATTAAAAACAACACATAGAAAGCCAGAGGGAAAAAGTCCTAGAACCACAAATTATTACAATCCTTCTGGCAAATTGGAAAGTGTCAGTGAGGAAGCAGTTCCAGGAAGAACAATGCAGAAAAGCATGCAACTAAGTATAAAGCATGACTAGGATGCTGGAAGTGTAGGAGCTGTACCAGCCAGACAGCTGGGGTGCCTGGCCTGTTTCCTACTGAGGAAACTAAGGGAATCCTGGGAGGTATTTGAGCACAGAGACTGAGGCTATCCTGTTCACTACCCATCACTGCTTCCTCAGAGCTCAGGACCCTTCATTACCATTGATTACATTTTATTCCCTCTCTCCTCTCTCCATCACCCATCAGCTCCTCCAGCCACATGCCCCGTCCATTCAACACTGTCTTGTGTTCAGGTCTGCTTCACAGAGGCACGAAGTTCCACTGGTTCCAGTCACAGGACACAGAGATATTCTGCAGCTTGAAGTTCAGTTTTTGCATGATGTGATTGGCCCTATCTACATGGGAATACATGGGGAAGCCAAGTTTGTCTAGAGCCTGAACCTGGACATAGATGAGGTAGGTGATGAGGCCCTGGGCCCGGTACTCAGGTATGGTGCCTGCCATCCGCAGCTCTCCTGTCTGGTCCATCAGGGCCCAGGATACAGGGGTCCCCTCAGGCCCCAGCAGGCAGAAGGTGGGGAAGGTCCGGATACAGCGCTCGATGAACCGCTGGCTCCTCTCATTGCCACCAAAATGCCAGAATTTATTCACCAAGGCCGCGTGGGTAGGATCCAGGGATGAGAGCTTCAACACCTTTTGATGGCTATTGGGAACAAGGGGGAAGAATAGCCCATAATATTGAAACCGTATACAAGCCTGTTTATCCCTGTCCTTTGAAATAAAAACCTTTTGCTTTCGTCTCCCAGGCCTCCCTTGAGTGTCAAAAGGCTAATAGAATTAATGATTAGAAAATGTGAAGATCTAGGAACAGAAGAGCTGTTGGGCTGAGAAACTGGTAACAATTTAGACTATAAATCTGCCACATGGCAGAATCACTGAACCCACAGTCCTCTGCAAGATACTGATAAGGGCCTGACACACATTTCTAAGTTGTTTTTATAGGAAGCAGATCCCCACCAGATGAGAACTGCTGACCTCAAGCACACAGACCCTAGACTGGTTGAAACCGGAAGGTTGATGATGCTTGAAACTTCACCTTGATGCCAACCAATCCGAGAATTGTGCACCAGCTGCCCACAACCCTGCAGCAACCTCCCTCACACTGACTTTAAAACCCCTTCCCTGAAAGCCATTGGGGAGTTCGAGTCCTTTGGGCATGAGCTGCTCATTCTCCTTGCTTGGTGCCCTGCGATAGATGCTGTACTTTCCTTCACCACAACCTGGTGTCAGTAGATTGGCTTTACTGCAAGTGGACCCAAGTTTGGCTCGGTAACAATATCACATGTACTGTGGAGTATTTTATTTGTCCCCTGCCCCAATTGTTCTGAGAGGGGAATAGGAGCATATTTAAGCATAAGTGCTCTGTAGCCAGGCTGTCTGGATTCATGATCTGACTCCTTGGGTGATTTGGGGCTGATTACTTCATTTCCCACTTCCTCTATTTCTTCATCTAATAAATAAGGATGATAATCACACCTCCTTTATAGAATCATTGTGAGGCTTAAATGAGTCAATGGATGTAGGGGCTTAGAACAAGCACCTGGCAGATAATAAATCCTCTACAGAGATTAGCTACAATTGTTTCATTTGGCCTCTGCCACAACTTTCCAACCTAGATAGGGCAGGTGTTCTTATCCTTATTTTACACAGAAGGAAAACGTTGCAGAGATATAAACAAGTGCCCCAAAGCACATGCTAGCAAGCAGTGAAGCCAGAGCTTAAAATGTTGATGTCCGAAGGTCCTTGGCTACCATGTTGAACAAGTGGGGAGGCTGAGGTCCAGAAAGGGGCAGTGACATGAAGTGCAGGCAGCCCCCAAGACACAGAACACTGAACCTGATGGCATCTGCAGGCTGTAAAGGGGCTTTGGGAGGTGTCCTGGCAAGAGCCCACAAGGTGAAACTAGGAGATCTAGACTCAAGCCCACTATGCCCTTAACCATCCATGTGACCTGAACAAGCTATTTCATCATCTGAGTCTGTTTTCTGTCAGGAAAATGGGGATAATACCTCCCATCCTGTTTATCCTACAGTGCAGACAAGGGGATCCAGAGAGATTCTTTGATACAAAGTGAATAAAACTTTCCCAGGAGTACAGACGGAAGGCCATGGGACTGGGCATCTTTAGTTCAAATCTCCACCATCAGTGTTCAGTTCTATTCAGTGTTAGACTGGACATCAATGGGGGAAAATATATTATTTGTTGAAATTCTCTTTACTGGAAAAATTTGTTTGTCAAGTGAATTTACTGAACACATTTATTAAATACCCACTATATACCAGACACTGTTTTAGCTGTGGAAGATCTATCAGTGAACAAGACAGGGAAGGTACCTGCTCTCTCTCGTGGGGTTTGCAACGTTGTTGGGGAGAGTTCAAACATCCAGTAAGTAAGACCGTTAACTAAATTACCTAATTTCAAATAATCATAAGTGCTACAAAGAAAATAAAAGTGGGTCATGTGTGGAAAATAACTGGGAAGTGATTTTAGGTGGAGTCGTCTAGCCTGGACTCTCTGGAAGGTGACATTTGAGCAGTTCTGAACAGCAAAAGAAGTCATGTGTGTCAGGATTGGGTGGGGTGGGGGCAGAGGGAAAAGCTGACTCAAAAGGCCTGAGCTTACAAACAACCCAATCAAAAAATGGGCAGAAGACCTAAATAGACATTTCTCCAAAGAAGACACACAGATGGCCAAGAGGCACATGAAAAGCTGCTCAACATCACTAATTATTAGAGAAATGCAAATCAAAACTACAATGAGGTATCACCTCACACCAGTTAGAATGGGCATCATCAGAAAATCTACAAACAACAAACGCTGGAGAGGGTGTGGAGAAGAGGGAACCCTCCTGCACTGCTGGTGGGAATGTAAATTGATACAGCCACTATGGAGAACAGTATGGAGGTTCCTTAAAAAACTAAAAATAGAATTACCATATGACCCAGCAATCCCACTACTGGGCATATACCCAGAGAAAACCATAATTCAAAAAGACACATGCACCCCAATGTTCACTGCAGCACTATTTACAACAGCCAGGTCATGGAAGCAACCTAAATACCCATCAACAGACGAATGGATAAAGAAGATGTGGTACATATATACAATGGAATATTACTCAGCCATAAAAAGGAACGAAAATGGGTCATTTGTAGAGGATGGACCTAGAGTCTGTCATACAGAGTGAAGTAAGTCAGAGAAAAACAAATATCATATATTAATGCATATATGTGGAATCTAGAAAAATTGTACAGATGAACCTGTTTGCAAGGCAGAAATAGAGACAGAGATGTAGAGAACGAACATATGGAAAGCAGTGGGGGAAAGGGGGATGGGGAGTGGGATGAAGTGGGAGATTGGGATTGACATATATACACTAATATATATATAAGATAGATAAATAATAAGAGCCTGCTGTATAAAAAATAAAATACAATTCAAAAAAAAAAAAAAAGCCTCAGCTTACAATGATCAATGGCAGGAGGAAGACCAGTGTTGTTGGGGGTAGTAAGCAGGAGAGGAGATGAGGTCTAAAAAGTAGATGGGTGTTGGCTCTTATAGGGTCACGTTGGAGTTCCGAATTATTTCTAAGTGAGATGGGAAGTACTCGAGTCTTTTAAGCAGGGGAAGAACATGGTCTAATGTGCATTTTTTTAAAAAAAAGATTACTCTGGCTGCTTGGCAGAAAATGGATGGTTAAGAGACCAAAGCAAAAGCTGGAAGAGAAGGTAAGAGGTATAGTGGGTTGAATGGTGTGTCCACTCGAAAGGTGTGCCCACCTGGAACTGGAAAATGTGACCTTATTCAGAAAAAGCATCCTTGCAGGTGTAAGTACATTGAGGATCCCAACATGAAATCATCCTGGATTATCTTGTGGGCCTTTAATCCAATCAAAAGTGTCCTTATAATAGAAGAAAAGACACAAACACACACAGAGAAGCCCATGTGAAGGCAAATTCAGAAATGAGAGTGATGAAGCTGAGACAGGCTGGGACCTGGGACCCTTTGCTGCAGTGCTACACTGCTTGCACCTGGACAAATTCTCCTCGGGCAACAAAATACAAAGAAACTATAAGAAACTAAAAATAACTGTGTGCATGTGCACTTGGGGCAAATTATGGACAAAGGGACAAAAAGACCCAAAACGCCCAATTCCCACTTCTGAAGAGCCAGGAGCAAAAAACAGGGTGTCGGGAGCAAAAGCTGGGCACCGCGCATGCCCCCTGCACACAACACCACCAAAGGGGTGGGCAAACCACCTAAGCCACGCCTCCGGCCCGACCCCTGGACACACCCCTACCCTCACCCCATAGAAGGAACCAGCTCGACCCCCTGCCTCAGCCAGCAAGCAAGCAAGGGAACCTGTGGTTTGTTCTCTCTCCCCACTGCTGCAGCAGGGGCCCCAATAAAGCCTTACCTGAACTTCTTGTCTGGCCTCTAATCAGTTTCTATTGATTGGGGAAGGCCAAGAACCTTGGTTGGTATCAGAGCCACAAGCCAAGGAATGCCTAGAGCTACCAGAATCTGGAAGAGGCAAGGAAGGATTCCCTCCTAGAGGCTTTGAAGGGAACAGAGGCTCGCCAACCCATGGACTTGGGACTTCTGGCCTCCAGAACTGTGAGAATAAATTTCTGCTGTTTAAAGGCACTCCAGTTTGTTGTGCTTTTTTGCGACTGTCCTAGAATGTGCTGGCTAATTCAGTGGTGACAGATATGAGGCTTCTTTCTTTGTTGTTTTGTTTTGTTTTTGTTTTTTGCCGCACCGCGCAGCCTGCGGGCGGGATCTTAATTAGTTCCCAGACCAGAGGGATTGAACCTCTGCCCTCGGTAGGCAGTGAAAGTGCAGAGTCCTAACCACTGGACCACCAGGGAATTCCCCAGAGCAACTTCTTTCAGACTTACATGGACTTGTATTTATCACCATTGGGTGATACGTTTTTTGCATCCAGCAAGGAAGTGGCCAATTTCTTTGCTGTCTCAGAGACCATATAGAGAAAGCACTGTGTTCGCTTCACCTTGCCCAATTTAATAGCCGCAAGATTTTTTATCACATCATCCAGGCTGGACTGTGAACCTAGATGGAGGAAATGAATTATATGAGATATCACTGTTCCTTTAAGTGTCAGGAAAAAGCTGTCCAACGGCTGCAAAGTTTGCAGGTTTCGAATTATTAAAACTCGTGTCCCATCATGAAAAGACTTCTATGGGATAATGGCAAATCACTCTCATATTTAAAAATAATTCAAAATTGGGATAATACTACAATTCCTGAGTACATTACAGTACAGTTATGACCATCAAAGGAGATGAGGTATAAAGATAATAACCAAAATTGATTGAAAAATTCTCTGCACTCAGTGCAGTAGATTGCTGCTACAGTGGTCTGAGTTTGTTCCTCTTCACTATCTTGATTTTTTTCTCCTTAACTGACTATGGGATTGACCATGAAACTTGCTTTGGCCAATAGAAAAGTAGCAAATATGAATCAGTAAAAAGCTTGAAAAGTGACTATGCATGGAGGTTTGCCTTTTCTCTCTGCTCTTGAGAACCTGTGATTTCTATACATCGCCCAAGCCACTTCATCAACACAGACAAAGCCAGCATTAACAGCCAAACTTGAGATTACGGCTAACTTAGTCCTACCAGCTCATTGAAAACCCCCAGCTGACTGCAGCTACATGGGTGAATCTAGGGGAGACCAGCAAAAGAATCACCCAGCTGAGTCTAGTCCAAATTGCTGACCCACAAAATCGTGAGCTAATAAATGATTGTGGTTTGCAGTCACTGTTTGGGGATGGTTTGAAAACCTGATAAAATCAGGCATAGTGCTAAGCACTTCTCATTCAAGATCTTATTCAATCTTTAAATGGCTTATGTTTTGGGTACTATTCTAATCCTCATTTTTTCTTTTTTCGGTACGCAGGCCTCTCACTGTTGTGGCCTCTCCCGTTGCGGAGCACAGGCTCCGGACGCGCAGGCTCAGCGGCCATGGCTCACGGGCCCAGCCGCTCCGCGGCACGTGGGATCTTCCCGGACCGGGGCACGAACCCGTGTCCCCTGCATCGGCAGGCGGACCCTCAACCACTGCGCCACCAGGGAAGCCCTAATCCTCATTTTTATATATAAGGAAACTGATCCACAGAGAGGTTGTTCCTTGCCTTAGATCACATAACTACTAACAGGCCCAACAAGGTCACGATTTTAGGTAGTCTGACTCCAGAGAATACTTTTTTTTTTCCTGGCCGCACAGTAGCTTGGGAGATCTTTGTTGCGGAATCTTAGTTCCCCGACCAGGGATCAAACCTGGGCCGGGGCTCTGGTAGTGAGAGCACAGAGTCCTAACCACTGGACCGCCAGGGAATTCCCACATACATTCTTAACTACTAAATTCCCCCTTCGTAAATAAGACAATGATAAAACGGAGATGAGACAGGAGGAAAGCTCTGCTCCCATATTCAATCTCCCTAATAGATCCTGGAATAAACCACGAATCCTTAGCTATTAAGAAATGATGTTATTCATGATTTCCTATGTAAACCCCATGTACTGCAGTCTTCAAGTTCTAATTCACTATTGTTGGAGGAGGTCATCAAGAAGACGTGCTACCTGTTGACTCATGAGCTGGACCCAGGCAATTGGAGGTTCCCCACTCCCTCCCCTCCTTGGAAGGTCCTTCCCACTTGCCTTCCCAGCTCCCAGAAGCTGCTCCAAGGACACAGCCTTGAGATTGAAATGCGGTGTTGAGATATCTGGATTGGGTACATGACTGAACCCAGTTAAGGCCACTATATAAATGTTTAAGATTTTGGCAGGTGGGTGAGGTGATATACTCATCCTGCAGTCTCCTGCAGGAGACAAGCCTGGAAGTTCCCCTGCTTATTAAACTTGCCACCTACCAATCGGAAGTGGTTTGCCCCTTTCTTAGGCCTCTCCTTGCCATACATGTACATGGGGGCTGGTTTCAGATTTCACCTGGGAAGCGCCCAAATAAGTTTGTGAACTAACAACTATGGAGGTAGTGGTGGCAGCTGAGAGAAAGAATGGACAGCAGGCTGAGTGTCTAGGACTTGGAGTAAAGATATAGAGGATGTAGGGCTGTAACTCAAAATGAAAAGTGACACTACAGATACAGACATGGGAGATCTCAGTAGCCAGCACACATCCCAGTTCCCTTACTTTGAATCTGCAAATGTTGCTTCCAGTTGATGACTTCTGGCAAACCAAGGAATTCCTGACATTTCTTAGGGTCCTTGGAGTAGACTTGGTAAGTATTGGTGTAGTGATCAAGGTCATCCGTCATCTCCTGTTTGGGTTGGGAAAAGTAGAATCAACCAAAATGCTTGTATTTAGTGATTGCCATATTCGTTTTCAGGGTTCCATTATCTTATGACACTTTTAAATACTAAAATATTAGCTTTTTCATTGTACTGATTTTATTGAAGGATTATTTACATTAGGAGATCAAGTCAAGGATTCCTTGATTCAATTAACAATGAAAAATGTCCTGAACAAAACTACTCCTAACTCAGTTATTGCTTTAAATTTTCAAACCAAGCAAAAATGATCCATTTAAAATTATTTTTCTATCCCTCCATAAAACTCATTAAGAAGCTTGAAAAAGGGGCTTCCCTGGTGGTGCAGTGGTTGAGAGTCTGCCTGCCGATGCAGGGGACGCGGGTTCGTGCCCCGGTCCGGGAGGATCCTTCGTGCCGTGCAGCGGCTGGGCCCGTGAGCCATGGCCGCTGGGCCTGCGCGTCCGGAGCCTGTGCTCCGCAACGGGAGAGGCCACAACAGTGAGAGGCCCACGTACCGCAAAAAAATAATAATAATAAAAAACTTCCAAGGGGGAAGAAAGTTTATTTAAAGAAATAATGGCTGAGAACTTCCCAAATCTTGAGAGAAATTTGGATACACAAGTTAATGAAGCTCGTAGGTCACCAGTCAACTTAAAGAGAACCTCTCTTAGACACATTATAATAAAACTGTCAAAACCCCCAAAAAGGCTATCAGCAGATTTCTCAGAGACCTTGCAAGCCATAAGAAGATGGGGGCAATATATTCAAAGTGCTGAAAGAAATAAACTGCCAACCAAAAATACTTTACCCAGCAAAGTTGTTCTTCAGAAAAGATAGCAAGATATCATTTTTAATATCTTGCTATCACTATTTGTTTGTGATATTTGTTTTTTATTGGACATCTATTAACAAATTATTGTAGGTATAGATATTTTAATATTTTGTCCTTTAATCTTTATACTTGAGTTAAGTGGCTAAAAACCATATTACTATATGACAGTATTCTGAATCTGACTATATGCTTACTTTTACCAGTATGCTGTATATTTTCATATGTTTTTATGTTACTAATTAGCATCCTTTCCTTTCAGCTTGAAGAACTCCTTTTAGCTTTTTTCTTTTTTTTTTTAAGAAAGAATTGGAACACTTTTTTTGATGTTTCACTAACTTTTACGAACAAACAAAAACTGAGGAAGTTCATTACCAAAAGACCTGCCTTATAAGAAATACTGAAAGGGGAACAGTTCTCAGAGCTTTCTGAGATGCTCTTCCCAGGTTATAATCCTCAAATTTGGCTCGAATAAAATGTTCCGATTCCTTCTTAAAAAAAAAAAAAATGCTAAAAGGAGTTCTTCATACTGAAAGGAAAGGATGCTAATTAGTAACATAAAAACATACGAAAATATACAGCATACTGGTAAAAGTAAGCATATAGTCAGATTCAGAATATTCTCATATAGTAATGTTATGGTTTTTAGCCACTTAACTCTAGTATAAAGATTAAAGGACAAAATATTAAAATATCTATAGCTACAATAATTTGTTAATGGATATCCAATATAAAAAATATAAATATTGACATTAAAAAAACATAAAATGGAGGGAGCAAAAGGATAGTGTTTTTGTATGCAATCAAAGTTAAATTGTTATCAGAGTAAAATAGACTGTTATATTTATAATATGTTTTACATAAGCCTCATGGTCTCACAAAGCAAAAACCTACAGTAGATTTACAAAAGATAAGAGAAAAGAATCAAAGTTTACCAACACAGAAAATCATCAGTTCACAAAGGAAAGTTGCAAGAGGAAGAAAGGAACAAGAGGACTACAAAACAGCAGAAACCAATAGGGTGGCATTAATAAGTTCTTACCTGTCAATAAGTACTCTAAGTGTAAATTGATTCAATTCTCCAATCAAAATACATAGAGTAGCTAGATGGATTAAAAAAAAAAAAGATCAACTCTATGTCGCCTACGAGACTTTAAGCTTTAAGGAGACGCATAGACTCAAAGTGAAGGGATGAAAACGGCATACCATACAAATAGAAACCAAAAGAGAGCCGGCATAGCTATATTTGTATCAGACAATATAGACCTTAAGCCAAGAATGATAACAAGAGAAAAAAGAAGGCTATTACAGAACTTTTTTTTTTTTTTTCGGTATGCGGGCCTCTCACTGGTGTGGCCTCTCCCGTTGCGGAGCACAGGCTCCAGATGCGCAGGCCCAGCGGCCATGGCTCACAGACCCAGCCGCTCCGCGGCATGTGGGATCTTCCCGGACCGGGGCACGAACCCGCGTCCCCTGCATCGGCAGGCGGACTCTCAACCACTGCGCCACCAGGGAAGCCCTATTACAGAACTTTGATGAAAGAAATTGAAGAAGACGTAAACAAATGGAAAGATACACATTTGGATTTATGGTTAATGAATTGGTTAAGGTTTCATGGATTGAAAGAATTAATTTTGTTAAAATAATCATATTACCCGAAGCCATCTGTAGATTCAATGCAACCTCTATCAAAATTCCAATAGCATTTTCACAGAAATAGAAAAAAAATCTTAAAACTTATATGGAACCACAAAAGATTGACTAGACAAAGCAATCCTGAGAAATAAGAACAAATATGGAGGCTTCATACTTTCTGATTTCAAACTATACTACAAAGCTGTAGAAATCAAAACAGTAAGGTATTGGCATGAAAATAGACACATAGACAAATGGAATGGAATTGAGAGCCCAGAAATAAGCTCTCACATATATGATCAACTAATATTTGACAAGGGAGCCAAGAACACTCAATCAGGAAAGAATAATCTCTTTAATAAATGGTATTGGGAAAGCTTAATAAGCACTTGCAGAAGAACGAATCTTACACCACTCAAAAAGTTAACTCAAAATGGACTGAAGCCTTAAACATAAGTACTGAAACTTTAAAAACCTAGAAGAAAATATGGAGATAAAGCTCCTTGACATTGGTCTTGGCAATGATGTTTTGGATATGACACCAAAAGCACAAGTAAAGAAGGCAAAAAATCAACAGTTGGGACTACATCAAACTAAAAAGCTTCTGCACAGCAAAAGAAAAAATAAACAAAATGAAGAGACACCTATCAAATGGGAGAAAATACTTTCAAATCACATATCAGATAAAGGGTTAGTACCCAAAACATATTTTAAAAACTCATACAATATAATATAAAAAACCCCAAACAATCCCATTAAAAATGGGCAGAGGAATTGACATACAAATGGCCAACAGATACATGAAAAAGTGCTTACATCACTAATTATCAGGTGAATGCAAATCAAGACCACATACATACCAGAATGGTTATCATCAAAAGGACAAGAGATGGGCTTCCCTGATGGTGCAGTGGTTGGGGGTCTGCCTGCCGGTGCGGGGGACGTGGGTTCAAGCCCTGGTCTGGGAGGATCCCACATGCTGCGGAGCAACTGGGCCCGTGAGTCACAACTACTGAGCCTGCGCGGCTGGAGCCTGTGCTCCGCAACAAGAGAAGCCACGATAGTGAGAGGCCCGCGCACCGCGATGAAGAGGGGCCCCCGCTTGCCGCAACTAGAGAAAGCCCTCGCACAGAAACGAAGACCCAACACAGCCAAAAATAAACATACAAATAAATTAATTAATTTAAAAAAAAAAAGAAAAGGACAAGAGATAACAAGTACTGGGGAAGCTCTGGAGAAAAGGGAGCCCTGTGCACTGTTGGTGGGAAGGTAAATTGGTGTAGCCACTATGTAAACAGTATGGAGGTTCCTCCAAAAATTAAAAATAGAACTGTCATATGAATCAGGAATCCCATTCTGGGTATATAGCCAAAGCAAATGAAAACAGGATCTCAAAGAGATACCTGCACTCCATGTTCATTGCAACATTATTCACAATAGCCAAAATATGGAAAAAAAAATGAATGGATAAAGAAAATGTGGCATATCTTTACAATGGAATTTCAGTCAGCCACAAGAAAGAAGTAACTCTTGCCATTTGTGCCAACATGGATAGACCCTGTAGGCATTATGCTAAGTGAAATAAGTCAGACAGAGGAAGACAAATACTGTGTGATCTTCTTTATGTGTGGAATCTTAAAAAGCTGAATCATAAATACAGAGAGTTGGATGGTGGTTACTAGAGGCTGGGGAGGCCTAGGTGGGGGAAACACGGAGATATCAAAAGGTACAAACTTCCAGTTTGTACAAGATAAATAAATTTATTGTACCAGATAAATAAATTCTGAGGATCTAATATACAGTATGGAGATTATAGTTAACAAGGCTGTATTATATACAGTTGACCCTTGAACAATGCAGGGGTTATGGACCCCAACGCTCCATGCAATTGAAAATCCGCATATAGCTTTACAGTCAGCCCTTGTATCTGCTGTTCTGCATCCACAGATTCAACCATCCTCAGATGGTGTCGTGCTGTAGCGTGTAATTATTGAAAAAATTCCGCATATAAGTGGAGTTGTGCAATTCAAGCCCATGTTGTTCAAGGGTCAACTGTACTTGAAAGTCTCTAAGAAAGTAGATCTTGAATGTTTTCACCAAAAAAAAAAGAAATGGTAATTATGTGACCTGATGGAGTGTTAGCTAAAGCTATGGTGGGAATCATTTAATGATATATGTGTATCAAATCTACACATTGTACATTTTATACTTACAAAATCTTATATGTCAATAATCGCTCGTAAAGCTGGACAAATCTTATTTTTAAGACTGTATTTTTGAAAGTAGCTCAGGTTTCTATCAATAATTAAAAGTCTTCATTTTCAGATTATTTAATTTGGTTATTTTGAATAATATTTCTTACCAATTTCACTTCTATATAAGTTCTATAAAATACATTTACATTAAAATTTTAGATTTTTACTTGATATTTTAAAATATCATTTTATGTTTTATTTTTGAAATGTCTTAGCTATTCAATTTCACTAATTAAAAAATTATCATACAATATGTAAACAACAATTCCAACTATGTCATTTGCTCCTCAATTTTCCTTAGTTCACTTTGTTATTTCAGACCTTATGGCTTGCAACTACTATTTTCTCTGCTTTGAGGGCAGTCCTTCCCAGCCACCATGTAAAAAATCTTATTTGCCTTCAACATCCAGTTTTGGTAAAATTTCTACTAAGAAGCATTTCTAATCCTCTCCCTGCAACCTCTACCACATATTGTCTTTTTCCTACCCTGTTTTATTTGCTTTATTGATGACAGTAGGTTATAACACCCTGCAGTATCTCAATGGGAAGACAGTATCACAATGAGAAGTTTTGAGTTAGCATGAATGAGTTGGTGTGGTTTCAAAACTGGTGTTTTTAAAAGGTAGGAAATATTTTTTCCCCCTTGGGTTAAGGGTTTAAAATGGGTTTCATTTATTACAATGCAGAATTCTAGCCTGGGAAATGCTCCTTTGATACCTTTAACAAAAGTGACCATCTACATAATCCTACCTTACCACAACCTCCCACTGGTTGCCTCTATTCCCACATACTGGGTGCAAGAAATGACAAAGTGTGTTTGGTCTTAAGCAGTAGCAGGATGCTATCTCTGTTTTGATCCTGACTGTTTCACACGACGCTGTAATTTACCTGTGTATTTATCTATAATCTCCTCCAGGCTGTGGGCTTTTTGAGGACAAGGACTTGTTAACCAACACCTCGATTCATTTCTATAATCCCAGGGTCTACCACATTGCCAGGTGCATGGTAAGCACATAGCAAATACGAACATACATGCATATTCATTCCACATCTGGCACCTTACCTGCTCCTGAGGGCGGATAACCACTGTATTAAAATCAGGCCACCTGTCCGCCAGGGCCTGTAGCTTGAAAGGGTTTCCCTGATTCATGTGGAAGACGGTCCCATAAACCTGCAGTATCCGGACAAAGTGAGAGGGTCAGCTTATTAGGAAGGGATGGCAAAGTGCCTCGTTTGATCAGGACAAGGTTTATTTCTATGAAATAATGAAATTTTTTGATTGGAAGGCACCTAATGAGAATTTCTGCAGACCGTGTTTTAGGTTCTAATTTTTGCCCCAATAAATATATCTTTAAAAAATATTCATATAGGGCTTCCCTGGTGGCGCAGTAGTTGGGAGTCCGCCTGCCGATGCAGGGACGCGGGTTCATGCCCCGGTCCGGGAGGATCCAGCATGCCGCGGAGCAGCTGGGCCCGTGAGCCATGGCCGCTGAGCCTGCACGTCCGGAGCCTGTGCTCCGCAACGGGAGAGGCCACAACAGTGAGAGGCCCGCAAACCGCAAAAAAAAAAAAAAAAAAAAATCAGACCAATGAAACTTATGAATAAAAGTTATGAACTCTCCCATTGTAGAATTTAATAAAATCTTTAATAAATTTCCTTCTATTCATGTACACACACAAAAAACTTCACAAAAAATGAAAAATATCAGATACACTCCACTCCAGGTGTTTCCAACTTTTCAGTGTAAACAATGACCCTTCAAAGAATATCTTTTTGCAGAAATCTTTGCATATGTACCTGATATTTGCTTAGGGAAGGTTTTTAGAAGGGAGATTGCTGGGCCTAAAGTTATCTACATGTTTAAGTCTTTTTAACATATTTTTTTAAATTATCCTCTGGTAAAGGTAAATATTTCCTACCAATAAGTGGAGGCTATAGTAATTAAAGTTCAGGGACAATTGTCTCTTTGGTCCTTTTATAGCAAATAAAAATAAAGCCAGATAGTCTACCCGTAGAAGAATGCTTACCTTTCTCTTTCCCAGAGTAAAAGGATGGTTTACAAATGGTTAAGATTGAGAAAAGTGAATAGATTCAACTCACCCCAAATTATGCCAGGCCTTTCAAAGCATTAGCCTCACGTAAGATGCATCCACAATTCACCCCACTGTAAATTTATGGTCTGATCTGTAATAACAGTGGCTAATATTTGCATAGCTTCTCTGTGTGCAAGGCACAGTTCCACCTGTTCAACATAAAGTCTTCTCATCCTGATAATAACCCCAAGAGTTTAGAGCTCTCATTACTCCCTTCTTTTTTTTTTGGCTGCGTGGCTTGTGGGATCTTAGTTCCCCCACCAGGGATCGAACCCAGGCCCTGGACAGTGAAAGCACCAAGTCCTAACTGTGGGTCACCAGGGAAGTCCCTCATTACTCCCTTTTTGTATGAGAAAACCAAAGCATGTAAAAGTTAAGTGATGTGGTGTCGACATACAGCTTGACGGTGGAAGAGGCAGGCACAGACCCAGGCAGGCTGGATGCTGAGTCTGCTCTTTTAGCCACAGAACCAATGCGATGTCACTGTCATCAACCTAACTCCCATGGTAGGATTAGGGTGCATGTTCTTGACAAAACTAATAATAGAAATTGAAATATGTAACTTTATCGACCAATGTCCAAGGCGTTATGCCCAGTGGATGAGCATAATGGTTAGTACTTGGCTTCAAGGGTTAACCTGCCTGGAATAAAACCCTGGCTACTTACTGTGTGAACTTGGTAAAGTGCGGAGACCTAGTGTCTCTGTGCCCGTAGAATACCACAACCAGGGTTTTGGCATTGATACGGTCAAAATGTGGAACAGTTTCATCATCACGAGGATCACTCGTATTGCTCTTTAGAGTCACACCCATTACCCTCCACTGCTCACGTCCTCCTTCACCTCCAGCAACCATCAATCTCTTCTCCATTTCTATAATTTTGTTATTTCAAGAATTTTATATTTATGGACTCATGTAGCATGTCATCCCTTGGGATTGGCTTTTTTTTTACTCAGCATAATTTTCTGGAGCGTCGTCCAGATTGTTGCAGGTATCAATAGGTCATTTCTTCTTTGTCATTTAGTAGCATTCCACAGTATGGATGTACCACCGTTCATTTAGCCATTCGTCTATGGAAGGACATCTGAGTAGTTTTCGGCTTTTGACTATTATGGATAAGGTTGTTATAGACATTCATGTACATAGTTTTGTGTGAAAATAAACTTGTATTTGTCTGGGGCAAATGCCCAGGATTGTAATTGCTGGTTGTGTGCTGGTTGCAAGATTAGTTAGAAACTTACAAATTGCTTTTCAAGAGTGGCTGTAACCGTCTCACATTCCCACCAACAATACATGAGAGATCCAGTTTCTCCTTATTCTTAACAGCATCTGAAGTGGAGGGCCTATTTTGCTCAAAGCATACAGGTAGGCTCAGGTGAGTTGAAATTGGGTAAATGGATTGTATTTCTGGCCTCAACAGTAACCAGTTGGGCAAGTTATTTAAGTTTCCTTGGTCAGATGCATCATCTACAACATAGGGAGAAGAGTGACATCCTCCTCATATGGGAGTTTTGAAGTTTATATGAGTTCACAGATAAAGCCCAGTGGCTGGGATGAGGTAAGGGCTATAAGTGCTTTCTATTGCCACTAATGAACTGCACTGGCGTTGTTCTGACCTCGAGGTCCCCATTGGTGCCGGTGCTGGGCAGTGGTTGCATGTGACTTAAGCTTCTATCTTTAGGTGTAAAAGGAGTTTTTAAAAAGCACTTTAGGGACTTCCCTGGCGGTCCAGTAGTTAGGACTCCACGCTTTCACTGCCGAGGGCTTGGGTTCAATCCTGGGTCGGGGAACTAAGATTCCACAAGATGCATGGCCAAAAAATAAAAAATGAAAGGAAAGCATTTTACTCGTTTCATCAATCCTCTGAATGTTAAAAATGAAAATATAAATAAAATGTGCATAAATCCAGCCACTTTGTAACAAATATTGCTGCAATAAAATAATGAATAGTATGTAATTATTTCTAGGTCTCCTCCATGGATAGCGCGTAATCTTTTGGATTTCAAAGAAATAGGAGTTGACCTAATAAATGTTCCAAGAAGGTACATGGTGGTTAACCTTGCCTTGGGCGCGAATGTTTAAAAATTAGTATGTACTTAGATCAACCTTTTAAAGAGAAATCAAGGAAATGTTTTTGAGTCTGCAGAGAGCGTTTTTTTTTTTTGCCACTTAAAAGTATCAGACAAGTCATATTACTGAGACCTGTTTCCTCTTCTGGGACATGAGTATAATAGACTTCCCTTGCCAAGAGGTGCTGTGTGAGATGCAGCATGAGTGAGTTCCTGCCACAGAATGGGTGCTCAGTAAAAGCTCATTCTCTTTCTCACCTCTATTACAAGAAGACGCAACCATTTGGTTCCCTAAGAATGTCCCAGGCTCACCTTTAAGGCCTCAGGGAGGCTCTTCCTTAAGTATTTTTCTAGGATCTGCAGCATCTGTGGACCCTGTAAGTGGAGCATCTTGGCAGGTACCTTAGCCTAGAGAGAAGACCAAGAAACAGCCAGGAACGAGAAGATACTGAACCAATAGAAATAGATGGGCACACATTTACCTGAACCTCAGAAGATAACAGGTGAGATAAATTTGCCTAGAAAACTGCTTTGGGAGAGGGGGAGAAAGTATAGTCACCATAGATTTCTAGCCTTACTATGAAGGACAGGAGTTCAGAAGGGCATCATAAAAGTCCTGAAGGGGCCACCTCATAGAAGACACAAAGAAACAAGCGCCGAAGATTCTATCCTAATACCTACGTCCAAGCCCTTCTTCAGTGCCTTTTATTGGTGTCACTGTCATTAAAGTCCTCACCACCTCCAAGGGAGGATGAGACGGGCAGAAAGCACAGGGTTCTCTTTCTGATAATTTTCGCTTCACTTTCTTATACTACCCTGAATTTTAGTCATTAAAGACACATATATTTTAACAAACATATTCTTTTTTTAAATTGAAGTATAGTTGATTTACAATGCTGTGTTAATTTCTGCTGTACAGCAAAGTGATTCAGATATATATATATATATATATATACATTTAAAATATTCTTTTCCATTGTGGTTTATCATAGGATATTGAATATAGTTCCCTGTGCTATACAGTAGGACCTTGTTGTTTATCCATTCTGTATATAATAGTTTACATCTGCTAACCCCAACCTCCCACTCCATCCCTCCCCTTGCCCTGTCCCCCTTGGCAACCACAAGTCTGTTCTCTATGTCTGTGAGTCTGTTTCTGTTTCATAAATAGGTTCATTTGTGTCATATTTTAGATTCCACATAGAAGTGATATCATATGGTATTTGTCTTTCTCTTTCTGACTTACTTCACTTAGTATAATAATCTCTATTTGCACCTATGTTGCTGCGAATGGCATTATTTTATTCTTTTTTATGGCTGAGTAGTATTCCATTGTCTATATGTACCACATCTGCTTTATCCATTCATCTGTCAATGGACATTTAGGTTGTTTCCATGTCTTGGCTATTGTGAATAGTGCTGCTATGAGCATAGGGGTGCCTGTATCTTTTTGAATTAGAGTTTTCTCTGGATATATGCCCAGGAGTGGGATTGCTGGATCATATGGTAGTTCTATTTTTAGTTTTCTAAGGAACCTCCATACTGTTTTCCATAGTGGCTGTACCAACTTACATTCCCACCAACAGTGTACAAGGGTTGCCTTTTCTCCACATTCTCTCCAGCATTTGTTATTTGTAAAGTTTTTAATGGTGGCCATTCTGACTGGTGTGAGGTGATATCTCATTGTAGTTTTGATTTGCATTTCTCTAATGATTAGTGATGTTGAGCATCTTTTCATGTGCCTATTGACCATTTGTATTTCTTCTTTGGAGAATTGTCTATTTAGGTTTTCTGCCCATTTTTCGATTGGGTTTTTTTTTTGGTTGTTGTTGTTATAGAGTTGTATGAGCTGTTTGTATATTTTGGAAATTAAACCCCGTCGGTCACGTCGAACAAACACATTCTTTAAATATGCAAGTGCATCTTTGTCCATGATTATCCCAATGTCACCACTAACAAGCTATGTAATCTTCAAAAAGTTACTTGACTTCCTTGTTCCTTGGTTTCCTCATTAATAAATCCTCTGGAAAGAGATCCTATCTTAGAAAATTGCTGTGAGAATTAAATGAATTAATACATATTAAGTGCATAGAAAAATTTCCAGCATATATTAACTCAAAATGTTATTATTTTTACTATTGTTATTATTAATATTGTCCCTGGCCGTTAACTACACAGTAATTCAAATCAGTCCATTGGGTTGTTATTCTGTATTGAAGGAATGGGATGTAACTTAAACACAGACCACGATATGAATGTCTTCAGTTAGAATAGTGCCCTGGGAAAAATCATAGACGTGAGGATTAAATGAAGTAATCCACGCACTGGCACCAAATGAATGAAAAAGTGCATGTAAAACTCTTACCAGAGTGCCTAGCAGAGAATAATATTAATACGTCATTATTATTATCATTCCCTGAAGGAAGCAGGAAAAATGTAGATTGATGTACTTAGTCCTTTTGTGCTGAGGCACTTTACCTTTCCAGATCTCTGTCCAGCATGTTCTTGGCTTTCTTCTTTTTAGGAACATATGCCCTTTGGCATGGTCAGTTAAGATACAGACTTGTAGAGATGGAACCAGTGTTGCTTACTTTCAGTGGGAAAATGCTTATGGTTCCAAAGATCCCATTTACCTTTTGGAACCTGCTGTGTGAACAGATTTGAGATTGCTTGAATGAGTGAATATTCTTGACTTTTCCATGTGTATATCCTGCCCCACACTCCCAGGTGCTCTCCAGTTCTTTGGGGACCAACAGGCCATTTTGTTCCCTATGTTCACTTATTGGTTTGACGAGAGGAGAGTCTTTGACAGCATCACTATAGCTGTGGTTATATCTTTTAAAACTACATTTATTGTTGAATAATTTAAATGGGCATAATTAAAAGCATATGTAGGGTACAATTCTATGGGTTTGACACATGTATATGCCTATGAAACCATCACCACCTTTCGGATATAGAACATTTCCTTCATGCCCTGTGTTTCTTGATTTCTCTTTGTAGTCAGTTGCTCCCCACTGCTAGCCTACTCAAGAACTGATCAGCTATCACTATGGATTAGTTTGCCTTATATTGAATATAATGTAATCATACTATCTACTTTTCATGTGGTATAATGATGTTAAGATTAAAACAATTTGATCACGTAACAGTTTGTTAATTTTTATTTCTGAGTATTATTTCATTGTAGAAATATACTACAATTTATTTATCCATCCATCTGTTGATAGGTGTTTGGGTTGTTTCTTTTCTTTCCTTTTTTGGCTATAATAAGTAGAACTACAATGGATATTCATGTAAAAGCTTTGTAGTGGTTATATGTTTTCACTTATCTCAGGTAAATACCTGGGAGTGGAATAGCTGGATTGAATGGAAAGTATATGTTTAACTATATAAGAAACGGCTAAACAGTGTTTTCTAAGTAGTTCTTTCATTTTACATTCCTACCAGCAAATCATGAGAGTTCCAATTACTCCACACTTCAACAATGCTTTGGACTGTTGGTCTTTTTATCTTTTAATTTATTATTATTTTAAAAAAATTTATTTTATATTGGAATGTATTTGACTTACAGTGTTGTGTTGCTTTCAGGTGTACAGCAAACTGACTCAGTTATACATATACATATTCTTATTCAGATTCTTTTCCCATATAAATTATTACAGAATATTGAGTAGAGTTCGCTATGCTATACAGTAGGTCCTTGTTGATTATCTGTTTTATATGTAGTAGTGTGTATCTGCTAATCCCAAACTTCTAATTTATCCCTCCGCCCACACCTTTCCCCTTGGGTAACCATAAATTTGTTTTCTAAGTCTGTGAGTCTGTTTCTGTTTTGTAAATAAGTTCTTTTGTATCATTTTCGGACTGCTGGTCTCTTAAATTTTAGCTAAACTATGGATGTGAAGAGTTATCTCATTGTGGTTTTAACTTACCTTTTCATGATGACACTGCACTTGTAATTCATGTTCTTTTTAAAACCTTCTTGATCAGTTTAGAGCAGGGTTCCTTACATTTAGCACTACTTCTATTTCAGCCCAGACAATTCTTCGCTGTGGGAAGCAATTCTGTGTACTGTAGAACACACAGTAATGTCCCTGGCCTCTACCCACTAGCCATCAGTAGTAACACCTCCACTCTCAATTGTGAAAAACAAAAATGTCTCCAGACATTGGCTCCATCTCCTTGAGAGCCTCAGGATAGTGGAAGTCTAATGTTCCGAGAGGCAAATGTGACCTTTTATCCAGAAGCATCTTGTAAGAGGTAAAATGAAGCAGAAGAGGCAAAATGAGCTTGATGCCAAATTTCTGGGGTTGTAACATTGTTATAATACTGCAAATCACATAATGTGAGACTGCTCTACATATAGGCATGCACACATACACACAGTGGAAAGTACCACCACCGCCAACAACAAACATATTGTCCAGTTAATAGGGTAGACTGAAACCTGAAGAGGCTCTAGAACACTGTACAGTCAGGGTGAGCTTTTAGCTTTGGCAAAGGGCAAAGTCCACAGTTCAGACCCAGCCTTTGCCTTATTGGAAATGTTTGTAAAATGTTGAACAATTCAAACAGAGAAAACAAGTTCTAAAGAATAATTTTATAAAACAACATTAACAAATAGGAACAAACAAGACACAATCTTGATGTCTAGCACTAGGATAAGATTACATAAATTATGATCTCTTAGTATGCTGCAACTCTAGGAACCATTAACATAGTAACTATGACACACACACACATACACAGGAGAATACTAAAATAAAAGGAGAAAATGTAGAACATAAAACAGTACATAATTCCTGATTATAATAGGTAAATCTTTGCTTACACATATTCTATGTGCAACATATACGAGAATTTTAAGGATGTAGAAAGATAAATTTAGAAGGAAAAAGAAAATATTGAAAGACATTTTATGGGGGCTTCCCTGGTGGCGCAGTGGTTAAGAATCCACCTGCCAATGCAGGGGACATGGGTTCAAGCCCTGGTCCAGTAAGATCCCACATGCCGCAAAGCAACTAAGCCCGTGAGCTACAACTACTGAGCCTGTGCTCTGGAGCCTGCAAGCCACAACTACTGAAGGCTGTGAGCCTAGAGCCCCTGCTCCGCAACAAGAGAAGCCACCGCAATAAGAAGCTCTGGCACTGCAACGGAGAATAGCCCCTGCTGGCCACAGCTAGAGAAAGCCTGTGCGCAGCAACGAAGACCCAACAGAGCCAAAAATAAATTTAAAAATAAAAAGACATTTTTATGGCCGTAGCATTATTGATAAAATCTTTTAAATTAACTTTCTTCTTCACATGATTTGAATTAACTGTAAATCTGGCCTGCATTCTAGTCCACATTCCTCTGCATATTTCCTCTTTGACTTTGAACAGACTACTTCACTTTCCTGGTTAACCTTTATCTAAAGAAAAAGCTACCTCCTTTAGAAAGTTTCCTAAAGGACTAAATAGAACGATGTTTGCTTAGTATCTCGGCACATTAGGTGCTAGATAAATGTTACTAGGATCAGCATCCTTCCTTGCAAATGTTATTACTTCTCCACTCACCCACCAGCTTCCCAAATCCCTCCATATCATTTATCTGCTTAGAACGAAACCTGGTTTAATCCTTCCAAGAATTTTTTCCACAGTACACCTGCTGTATACAGAGCACCTGCAATGCATTATTTCTCAAATTGAATAGACTCCCTTTTCTTCAACCTAAGTGTCAATAAATAAGCTCGGCCCTTCATTTGGAAACCAGCAAGAGCATTTGATTTTTCCCACCTTGTCGTGAGAGGAAAATGAGGAGGCAGGTGTCAAAAAGCAGCGATTCTCTCCAATGA